TTTCTCCACCGTTGGTCCAATGAGTTGTATGTAGCCTGTGAAGGTGACTTTGACTTCCAGTCACTGGGCCTTATGCTTGACTTCTGACAGAACTGTTTTTTTGGTCTTAGACCAAATGTAGCTACAATCTGGACTGATTAAGTGGTAAAGAGTTTGACTGGAGTACGCGAATTGGACAATGACCCACGGAATTATGCTAGGATTCTTTTTCGGGTAGCTTGGTGAGAAAAATCGATCTCAAGTATATTATATAGTGTGTGAGAAGAAAAGGAATGATTCATAGCAAAGCTTTTAACAACATGATTCGTCAAAGGAAGGATTTTAAATTCACTGCTTCAACCAGTCTATCACTTAGACTGCTCATTGGGGCATACCATGGCATGTGGTGTCATGATATTCACAATCGGCAGACCGAGACAAAACATCACACAACACCGCTTTCCTTCCTTCTCCCTCCCCACACCGCTTCCTCGCCATCGTTCGGCTCGTGGCTCTGTATCTCGTAGCTAAGCACTTATGAATATCTCGTCGCGCGCCCGGCCAACCAGGGGTTGGAATGCCTCGAACACAGTGTGGGAGTTTGCTACGCCAGCCCTTAGCTGTCAACCCCCTCCCTCTTTTCTGCCTTTTCTCTTTCCGGTCCCCTTCTCTCGCAACTGTCTCAACCAACACTCCCGTCCTCCTTCCTCATTCCCCCTTCTCCTCCTTCCCCTCCTCCTCTTGTTCCGGTAAATTTCAAACTGCTCAGATCTGCTGTAGCTACGACACTTTTGCACGCAGAATTGGTGTTTTGTGGCTATTAATGCTGTTTCAAGTGTGTGTTAACCCACACCCCTCGTCTCCTGTATTAAACCGACCTGCCTAATGAATGAGTGTAAGAGTTAATCCTCCGGGATATTGGGGGAAGGATAACAATAGGCAGGCCTATATAGTTACCAAACAAATTTCCGTCCTACTCTCCTGAGGCTATTGTATAACGTCCCCCTGGGGGGTGGCATTGTACGGGATTGTCTCTGTTTAGCCAGTGCTCACTGAAGAAGAAATTTTAGCACATGTTACACAGCCATCCCTTGGGCATTCACTTATTCTCCAAAACAACTCTCTCATCTCCTTTTCTCTCACTCCCATTAGGGTAGATGTATGACGCAGCTACGTAGTTAAATTTACCCACCTCTCTCCCAAGGTTTCCTTCTTCTCCAGTTTAGAGTATGTCTTAATCTTTCCATAGCCCAACTCAGACTGTGGCAGGGGAGACAGAGACACATCAACATAATTATGAGTAAAGGAGTGTGGAGATAGAAGATAGAGGTGATCAGAGAAGTAGAACAGAGAGCAGGGGAGGGGGAAAGGAAGGGAAAGCGAGGGACGAAAGGAGAGGGGAAAGCCGAGAGAAATAAAGAAGATTTAACATATAGACTAATTTAAAGAAGAGAAAATTAAACCGAGATGGACGGGAGAAGAAAGAAGCGAGAGGATGAAAGAGAAGTGGCGGATTGTGTAGGCCTACCATTGAGGCTCGTCTCTGTCTGCTAGGATTGTAGTATAGGAAAATGAGAGTGAGGTTTGTGGGGGAGGACGGTTGCGAGATGGACAGGTCCTGGACACTGGTGGGGGTCGAGAAGGAAGCAGAGAGGAGGTGATGCTGCCCTGGACCCATCCGTTGCGCAGAAGAGGCCCTCCGAGTGACCAACACAGAGGTAGTAGAGTAAACTCTCTGGCATTACAGCATCTCCTCCTGGAATCGCTGCACAGTGTAGCACAAAAACATGACATAATTAATTGAAGATGTTGATTGGCAAAAATGAAACGAGGACGAGGAAGTGATGAGCACTCCACACAGCCAAACAACACAATGAGTAAGAGCACATGCAACATACAAACGCGGGTTGTGTAAGAATTTTAGTTGCAGAACTGCAGTGTTAGGCCATTGAAATTTTGCTCAGTTTGGGCCACTATTATACACAGAGAAACTCTACACTGCGAACAGGCAGGTGAGCCGGTACAACGAAACTTTACACCCATTAGCAGCAGCTAGAGAAAGAAGTCTGCAAGCCGAGAATACATCGTACAAAACCCGAGCTCTACTCTAACCAGAGGTTAAACCTGTCGTGATGCAAACAAAGACAGTTTAGCAGAGCACAGTGTGTTGCGATATCCACTGACATATTGATGCCTGAATTCCATTTCACGCGGACCTTGCTACCCCATATGTTATCATTCTACTGTTGGTGTGACGCAGTCTAAAATTGAAAAGTGTTTGATAAGGATTCCACTCGTCCCGACACTTTTGTTTGGAATACAACCTGCTTTCAAAACGATCGGCACTTGTTTTCAACATACACACACACACACGCATGCACTAATAGTCTCGGTTGTCAACATACGTATGCACAGTTGTATGCAAAGAGTCTTTTTATACTGAGTTTGAAACACTAGCAATGGAAAAGTAACAACATACACACATGTATGCACTAATAGTCTCGGTTGTCAACATACGTATGCACACTTGTATGCAGAGAGTCTTTTTTATACAACACCATGGCAATGTAAAAGTAGCGCCATTAAAACTTCTCGGTATAATACACCAAAGATCTACAACACACACGCAGAGATGGCACCTTTCAATTTCACAATAATGATATATCAACGAGGGCCTACTACTCACACTATACCGTGTTCATCTTGAGAGAACATGCTTTAAATTTCCTTAATACTTTTGGCTGTGATCAGCCCCGTTTTATGGCACAAGAGGAGGAGTAATACGTTTGTTACATCGGTGAGTAAAAGGCACCCAGCACAAGGAAAATTATTGTGATGAAGGGTCTACGACGAGAAGATTAATATTCGGAACTTGGTTTAAGTTTTTCCTACGTCAAAGGCTTTCAGTTGAGGTCAATACAGATTAACTAGTGAATTGGATCAATTGATAAACAGTTAACAAGATTGTAATAATAAAGTGATAAATCTGCAAGGTATAAATGATAATGCTCACCAGTGGTGATCTGGAGTTGGGTATTCTGCGCAGGCTCTGAGCTCCCGAGAAGAGTGGGCCCTCCTCCGGATAAGCATCGTCCTCGTTCTGTTCCGACTCGTCCCCCATTCCATTCACAAACCCATTGGGAGCCGTCAGATGGTAGCCTGCAATCATCACAACAATAAGAGCAACGGAGAAACAACGGAAAAGGAAAGATTATACGAACTGCTATTTGTGCATGTTCCTGGTTTCATTTTCACATGCTGAGCCATTTCAAAGCACCATTGTTGTACCACGCGCCATCTACCTTGAAGAGGTCTCTAGTTTTCTTCTAAACTGCTGACCAATGCAATTGCAATATGCTACACTTTGCAGTATTTGGCCACAGTTACTATGAGATGCCATATTGTTCCCCTGTCTAGGGAGACGAAAGGTATATAACTGTTCACGTGGACGATTTAGCAAAGACAGGACTTCCTCATTTCCATATACCTGTGCACACTATATAGATATAGCAGAGTTGTACAGCAGAGAGCATAGCTAGCTAGTGACCAATAACACACATTTCTGCGGCAGACTCTATAGGGCTAGGCTTGTTCTACACGACAGTGTGGGTGTGATAGGGTATGATTGTGAAGGCGCAACGATCCGTCTCGGTTTCCCCGTAACAGTTACACGTTACATGCAAACCGCAGGAGTTGAGCCACAGATGACGGGAGCGCCGGAGTCCTCTACGGCACTAACCTTGCACGCGGAACTACATCTGTTTAGCACATGGTATTAGGGAGCGCGAAGACACAACAAGGCATTTTGGAGGCGTGGCACGCTAGCTAGCTAAGCCGCAGCGAAAAACGCGAGCTAGCAAACAATGACACACTAGAAATGAGCTCGCACATACCCTGCATTTAGAAGCTCACCGTTCTGGTCGGCGACGCTGTCTCTGTGCAGGTCAGCGTATCTCTCGTCCCCGCTCCTTTTCTTCTTCCTGCCCAGCGTGAGGGAGATGCCGCGAAACCGCGACTTGCTGCCCGACATTTCGCGCAGACACAATGCGTGGTCAAATGGGGAACTGTACAGCAGTAATCACCCAGCGACGACGGGATTGTGTAAACTATCAACTTCTACTTTCGTATATAGTATGCCGTGCTGTGCAATAAACAATGCGAGATCGCTCTCGATCTCGGGACCGATACACCCACGCACCCTAGAGTGCGCATGCGCAATTAGTGTTCTTCGTATGACGTCGCTTCAACGTACGTGACCTTTGACGAATTTCTCCGGCTTGTTGAGAGTTGGGTAGGATTAGTACAAGTCGAAATGGAAGAAGAGGAAGAGTCCTGCAGATCCAGCCCGGTCCTCCAGCCAAACCGTGGCGCATCCGGCCAGTTTGACGTTTCTCTCCCGGCCAGACACTTGGTGAGTCGCGGTTCAAATCAAATCAGCACCTAGCTGGTACATCCTCAGACCAGACCCATTAGATCGTTATTTCAATTGATGGGCTTGCTACAGCGATCATCTCCAAATTAGGAGCAGTGTATTGTATAGTGCGCGGTTTGCCGCCACAGTATACCAATCTTTCGAAATTTAGTCGAGTCTTCCCATGAATTGTGTGTGTCGGGTTGCAGTACCTGGGTGAGTTGGAGGAGGAAGGACAGATTCCCATGGAGGACGAGGAGACCACGCCCACCCTGCCCCTCCTCTGCCTCCCCGACAGAGTTCTGTTCCCGGGAGAGACACTGCCGATGCACGTCCAGAACCCCCACGTGAGATTACGGGACCCACTCCCTTACCTGCCTCCCATGTCACCTTGTTCCTCTTTTGTATGCCTTATACACTAGTATCCAGCATGCTAATGCAAGCACTTACATGTGAGGCATAGTATAGTAGTGTACTTACATAGCTTTACATCTTTCAATATCTGCCAATGTTAGTTGCAATGTGTACAGTCTCTTTACTTGTACCTTTGACCTCCGTTCTTCCATACTCCAGACCATGCTCATGTTGCGCGATGTTGCGACTCGGCACCGACCGGTTGCCATAGTGACCGACCTCAGGTCCAGCTCCCAGCTCCGTGAGATGGCCAGACCCACAAAGGAGGAACTTTCTAAGGTTTCCCCCTCCCTCCCTCTCCCTCCCTCTCCCTTCCTCTCCCTTCCTTCCTTCCTTCCTATATATCTCTCTCTAAAGTAAGGTGTGTGTGAGTGAGTTCAGTTGGTCAAACGTGATCCCCCTCCCCCTGTAGGTGGGTACGACGGCAGAAGTGGTGGGGATGAGGCTAGAGGGAGAAGACTACACTCAATGGAGTCCCTTCCTCACCGTCAAGCTCCTCGGTCGACAGAGATTCAGACTTATGGAGATCTTCAAGAGAGTCAACGGGTAAAGTTCTGCCCCATACTAATACCAAGGGACACTGAATTAAGGAACCTATAGGTGTACCTCATTCAGTGGTTTCGTGGTCGCCTCAATAATTCGGGTAATGTTTACGTGATTAGTATGTGCGAGAAAACACGCGCGAAATATTGCTCGCGAAGTTCTAGATTTAAGTGTCTCTCTCATCTCTCTCCGTTGCAGACAGATGGAGGGTCGTGTGGTGATTCTGCCAGAGATGAGACTCTCTCCCCCACCTCTCGCCCTCTCTCCCTGCCCTCCATGTCTCCACTCTGGGGCTCTGGTCTCCAGACTAGTGGCCAGGGCTGGCAGCGTCTCTCCATTCACTCTACAACAGAACAGCAGACACTCGCAGGTTCTTAAGGTTCGAGAATTTTGTAGTAAAACTACTGAATGCATCTCTGACTAAGGAACGTATGTATGTGTTGTGTGCAGCGTTCTCAGATCTCAGGATCTCTGTGTCAGGTTCCAGCATGGGTCTTTTCCCTCCACGACCAGGTGGGTCTCTCTCTCTCACCCTCCTTCCTCCTCCTTTTTGGCTCCTATTGTTTCCTTTATTCCTCCCTCACCTTCTTTCTATATATGACCAGGTGAGTCTCGTTTCCTCATACCACCTCTTTTATTTACATTAATGGTTGAAAAAATCTTGTTTTATATAATATTATACTGAAGGTTTTTTGGAAGAGCACAATTTTTGCATTTTACCTTGCGGCAATATATGCGCGCCTCTCAAAATTTTCACTATGACCAAAAAGTCTGCCATATTATGTTGATGCTATAGTATTGTACAGTCCAAAATATTATTGCTCACTGTGATTGTGTGGATCTGACAGGACTACCTTCGCCAGGAGGTAGCCAGGGAGGAGATGATGAGGGTGGGGCGCCGGGAGGAGGCATCATTGGACCTGCTGCCCGAGGACACCATCAGCCTCTCCTACTGGCTGTCTCGCAGACTACCCATCTCGGACCAGGAGAAACTCTCCCTCCTGTCCATCCACTGCCCCACCCAGAGACTGATTCAGGCCCTCCACATTCTCCAGGTCCCTCTCCTCTCTCCCTCCCTCCCTCCTCTTTCCCTCCTCCCTCCTTCCCTCTTTCTCGTCCTCTATCTTCTTTCTCGCCGCTCTCCCGGCTTGTCCTCAAGGTCTTTCTTCTGTCTACATACGTCTCTTTAGTTTCATTATCTTGCTGTCTGTTGATAGGGTCTGAATGACTTGTTTTGTGAGTGTGGAAAGTTTATTACAAAGAAGGCCCACCTATTCAGGTATATATATATATACATTATATATTTATGCATGCAGAAAGTGCAGTGACTTTACGAATATTGCCCAAGTAAACTTTACACAGATTTAAATCCAACCAAAACCCAAATTTATAGGCTACCACTTCTAAATTTTGACCTAGAAATAATATTGCAGTAACAATTGTGACCTATATTATAATTATGTAGTATTGTCCATATTTGGATGCTCTAGCTCGCAAGTGCCGAATAATCCGGCAGTCTACTATCTCTTTGTTTGCACCTGACTCCAGTATGTCGGTGGACGGCCCGGTGGCATCGTACGTGAACCCTGGAGGTCACGTGCACGACACGCTCACGGCCAAGAGAGCCGAGAACGTGAAATCTCACGGCGGACCCTCAACTGAACATTCTTGGTTCCCCGGGTATGCGACCTCTTTCTCTTTCCCTTTCATTTTCTATAATATTATTACCCGCCTTCCCTTCGACATATCTGTATATAGTATGTACCTGCTATATTATGCTAGTGGAATCCCTCTAATCCAGACACCAATGGGACAGAAGAAAGTGTATATAATCACTAGCTGTTCATGGGAGAGAAAAGTTTAAAGAGATATCCCAAAGACCGTAACACCTCCTTCCCTCTTCACCTATACCTTTCTCCCTCTCTCCTCTTTCTCCTCCTTTGCCATCCGTGGTTATCTGTGTAGCTACTCCTGGACGATGCTGTCGTGCAGAGGCTGCAGCGGACACAAGGGCTGGCTATTCAACGCCACCCAAGGCGGTCTAGACCCACCAATGTTCTACGGGCTGTGTCGCAAAGGTCTGGCTCACTGCCACAAGCCCAGCAGAGGAGCCAACGGCGACCTCGTGCACCCCTCTTGACTCGAGAATTGTCAGATTTCATCTAATTCCGTATCTGTTTGAGTCAGTATAAACCCACTTATGTTTGTGATTCTCAAGTTTATTGGTCAACTATGGGTGTGTGATTCTCAAGTTTTTTAAATATTATACCCACTTTTGTTTGTGATTTTTTTAAATATACATATACCACTTTCATCAATGGATGTCAAAAACACTTACGGCACATTTGCACACAGCTATATATAATAATGCATACTGTAATTAAACAAGAAGAGTGTTCAGTGTAAGCCACACAGACGCAAGCATTATGTCTGAGAAAAATCCTAAACTCTCGGTGGAGTGGGCATTAAATGGGGTGCAGCATGTGATTTGTCCTAGCTCTTGATGTTTGCTAGTTCGTTTGAGAGCCAGTCCAGACCTTCGTACAACCCCGTACCCTGCGTCGCACACGCTGACTGGATGTACCACTGTAATGATAGTGAGGGAGAGTGACACACAATGCATTATATCATCACTAGTCACATGACTCAATCAATCGATCACATGATCTCCCCCCGCACACCTTTCTGTTCCTCAGCTGGTGAAGTCCGAGGCACTCTTGTATCTCGGAGACGGACATGGACTGAGGCAGGTCCTGTTTATTGGCAAACACCAGTAGAAAGGCATCACGCAACTCATCCTCCTCCAGCTAGGGAGGGAGGGAGGGAGATTAATGCTGCTTAGTCATCAACAGTACATGAGCTGTTGGGTAACGATTACACAAATTAGAACCAATATTAGACTCTCTAATTTAAGGAAAGAAATATCGCACTGACAGTTGCTGAGCTGAGATGCTCTGAGTACCCGCAAACTATTGCTAGATCTTGGTCGCAATGTAAAGAAAAAACAGACGCAGTTTCCTATATACCTATATACATATAGAGACAGGTTGGTAAAAACACTGCGTTATGGCATGAAAAACGATAGAAAGGGGCTTAGCTCCACTGCATGTATGTTAACTATATACACATTTCTTAGTGAAGGGGAGTATTATACTGGTATATTATATGCATCCATAGGAGTGGGGGCATGTAGTAGTACATGATGCATACATGGTATTGTGTGTATATACCATTTTGTTGAGCTCCTCCCTTGCTTCTTGCACTCTTTCTCTGTCATTGCTGTCTACCACAAATATTAGACCCTGTGGGAAAACGCGAGAGACCATGGACAGTGAGAGGAGACAGGGGAGGGAAGGAGGGTGGGAGACAGGAGAGGAAAACAAGAGGAGAGCGAGGAATAAACCAAGAGAGAGAGAGAGAGAGTGAGAGAGAGAGAGTGAGAGAGAGAAAAGAGAGAGAGGACGAGATGATGTAGATAGGAAAGATAAAACATGGGGGAAGGAAGATAAAAGAGGCGGGGAGAGAGAGAGAAAGAGAAGAGACCTGTGTGTTGATAAAGTAGTGTCTCCACAGAGGTCTGATCTTATCCTGACCACCCACGTCCCACACAGTGAAGCTAATGTTCTTGTATTCTACTGTTTCCACGTTGAATCCTAGCGGGAGAAAAATAAGCCACAGTTCCCTGCTATACACTACACACAGGAAGTTATGTTAGTGGGAAAAAACTTTCGTATATTTTCGGTTTATGAGCCGTCAATGATAGTACACTAACCGATGGTAGGGATAGTGGTGACAATTTCTCCTAGTTTAAGTTTGTATAGTATCGTGGTCTTTCCAGCTGCATCGAGACCAACTGCACACACACACAATAAAACAGTTTGAAGGCACACAAAACAATACGAGAGAGCTAAAACAACCGACTATAAACTTCTCTACTGAAGTGTCTTTTACCCATAAAGAGTTCTGGGGTTCTCTCACGTGACTAATTAAGGCCGGCTTACCCATGAGGATCCTCATGCTCTTCTTCCCGAACAGCCTCTGCCAGAAGCTGGACACCGTCAAACCCATCCTGGCCGCCCGCCGCTCTGACACACACACACGACGTCTAGGGGACGATGGAGAATTGCCTGCGGCCGAGCCTCTTTCAGTTGTGTCGGAGATTCCGATTGGCTCACTAGTAAACCTCCGCGGTAGATATAATCATACAGTGTGCCGAGAGGAGGCGTTTTAGACGCAGAGCTGAGCTCGCCTTCGTTTCTTCTTCCACGTTGATTTGCGCCACGTAGCTAGCTAGCCACGCTCACCGTGACCGGCCAGTGGGCGTAGTTTGGTGGATCACGTGATCTACTACGAACGCGCGCCGCCTGAGATCAAGAAGCGAACTCTGATCGAATAGAGGACCAATGGCTCTCAATAGTCTCGAGCCTCTCGTTGGACGTATCCTCTCCGTATATACCAGTACATATTCCCCTTACAGAGTGAAAACTAGTATCTAGAAACATAGATGATGCATGCAGACGTATGTTTGACCTTTAACCTCTGTGTGTGACCAGACAATGTGTCGGTAGTGACTGCAGATGGAAGAGTTATTGTGGTATGAACAACTCGAGTTTAAAAAAAGTGACAATCTCTTTATCCTTTCCTCCATTTCGACTTTCCTCTCTCCTTACCTCACTCCCTCTTTCCCCCAATTCTCTCTCTTCTCTTTACCACCGCTTCTACCCTCTCTCCTCCCTCTCCCTCCCCTCTCCCTCTCCCTCCCCTCTCCCTCTCTCTCCCCCCTCCCTCTCCATCCCCCTGTCAGGGAATCCTAAAGGGGTACGACCAGACAGTGAACATGATTCTGGCCCAGAGCCACGAGAGGGTCTACTCGTCTGGAGCTGGCGTGGAGAAAGTTCAGCTGGGTCTCTATATCATCAGAGGCGATAACATGTGAGTGGAGAAAGAGAAGAAAAAATATTATATTGCCAGTGGCATACCATTATTGGCAAGCAAAATGAGAGCTCAACTACTCGTCTGCATTTTTTTGTACACAGCATGGTCCGTACAGTAACGTATAACTTGTGTTTGGTGTTCACTTGCCAATTAGCTAGTAAAAGCTACGATTACATTGTACCAACTAGGACCACAATAATTCCCATCACTAAGTTGAAACAAAAGGTTATTATAAAAAGCCGTGTATATATAATAAATATCCCGCTGCAGAGCGGTGATAGGCGAGATTGATGAGGAGATGGATGGCGAAATAAACCTGGCAGATATCAGAGCAGAACCTCTCAACACAGTCGTACATTAGCACAGCCGCCAACCCTCCATACAGTTGTGTTATGTCAACCATAATTATTCCGCATACGTTTTGTAAGGTATATACATAATTAAAAAAACTTCATAAATTTGTCATTTGTGAAAAATATTTGTGGGGTGCACTATATGCCGTACATTAGTCTTGTGTTTTCGCGAAGTGATTTTAAAACGTCCCCAACATGCATGTGTCTGATTTTAGCTATCTCTCTCGCTGTGTAAAATGCAAACGATGGGTGGGAGAACTTGTTACCACGGAGATGCTGCGGGAGGTTCCGCGGCACCATGTACGGTGCGTCTGTCTCTAAAAGCAATCGCTCCAGGGGCAACCCCGCGGCCAGGGCCCGAACTCGATTCGAGTCGTATGTTACGTTACCGCACACCCCGACGTAGAGATTGGGGAACGTCTTTAGGAACTTTCTGGCCATTTCTAGTGCTCCGGTGAAGCAGTGTAGATGGATTTTCCACTCCGCTGGAACTGTGGACGAGAGAATGTCAAAAAGATCGTCTTCTGCATCGCGACAGTGCAAAACAACAGGTTTCTCTAGTTGCACGGCCAGCTCCAGTTGTCGCGTCAGGACACTCCTTTGTACTTCTGGAGTCGACGGCGAGTGCGGGGCATAGTCCAGTCCAATTTCCCCCAGCGCCACACATTTCGGGTGCGAGAGACCGGCGAGCATTTTGTCCTCCAGGGAGCTAGACTGGTAGTACCTGGCGTTGTGCGGATGTGTACCAAACGTTGCCCAGACGTTCGGTTCACGCAGGAGGCTTTGCCAGATTCCAAATGACGGCGAGAAAGCCATTGGATCGCAAAATGTCGTGATGCACCCCTCGAAATTTTCGGGGTAGCGGTGCTGCGTTGTGAACTGAGCAAACGTGCCCTGGTGGCGGAACCTTTCGAATACATACTCCAAATGGCAGTGGGTGTCTATGAACTTTGACAATTTCAGGTCTTCTGCTGTGCTCGTCGGCTTTTCTCCGGGAGAAAGGGGGCGGGGCATGTACGCGGTTCCGCTTCTTCTTTCGTCTGTTGTTGCTGCTGCGGAGTGTGAGCTAAGGTCGTCGTTGCTAGCCGTGGTTGTGGAGGTTTCAGAGCCCGTGATCTCCACAAGTAGAGCGGGCTTCTCTCTCCCACGGTATGGCCGCTCATCGCGAGGGGCGTGGTGTTCACGGCGAGTCTCCGGACACTCCCTCTTGAGGTGTCCTGGTTTTCCGCAGTTGAAGCAGAGCTGCGGAGGTCTCTGCGGACACACCTTGGCTATGTGGCCCTCCTGGTTGCAGTGGTAGCAGCGTACAGCTCCTGCTAGAATCGGTGCCGGAGGACCGCGGCCGCCTCTGCGGGAGCTCATTATGAACGGTGCGCGCTTATAGATCGTGCGTGTGTGTGTGTGTGTAAGAGAGAGTAGTGTGCGCGTGAACGAACGTCCGGTCACGAGTCGAGAGAGTTGCTACTTAACTTTGTTGTGCTAGTGTCACACGTATAGAGCTTCGGTCAAAGCGTAGTAGTACAAGTGGAAAAATCATTTCTTCAAAATGAAAGGGGGATATAGGATGCTTGAAGCACAAAAAGGATAAACA